GCCCCAGGCCACCCCCAGGGCCGATCGGGCCCTGGGCAGGTTGTCTCTGGTGGAGCCCAGCAAGGAGCATCACTGTGATCTGCTGCAACTTGTCGGGAGCTTCCAGGAGCAAGGAGTAAAGTCAGCGCCAGCTCCCGGTCACCTTGCACAAGCTGGAGAAACTGGGGCCGTGGACAGATTGCAAAACCCAAGTGCTGCCCTGTTTACTTCCTCGTCGGCCAGATAAGGCCCCTCCGTCAGCTGCTCCTCACATGCTGCAACTCAGCCAGCTCCTTGCGAGGGCACTGGGGGGGAACTGGCTCTCCTGGGGTGCTCGAGGGGGTCCTCGTCCCCTGAGGGTGGCTCAGCCAGGGCTGCTGTACCGTGGAGCAGCACGGACTGCACGGGGCATGCCTGAGGAAATCCACTTCTGCCCCCTCCAAGGCAAGGAGGTGGTTAGGGGGGGCTGGAGGAGGGTGCTGAGCTTCCCCCCTCTGCCCCAGGAGGGCAAAGCCTGGAGCCCCCGGGGGGAGGCAGAGCCCAGAGCCCCCGAGGGGAGGCAGAGCTCGGAGCCCCTGGGGGGAGGCAGAGCCCGGAGCCCCCGGGGGGAGGCAGCCGCTAATCCAGGGGCTCCCGCCCTCGCTGCCCGCAGACCCCGCGCACCCACACCGAGCCCTGGCCTGTGCATCAGGCAGGGACTGAAGCGCCGAACGAGTCTGAGCTGAGCAGCAGCTCCCTGAGCAGGGCAGGGCCCTGGTCCACCACGCAGGCAGGCACCTTCCTCCAGGACAGGCCAGGGGAAACTCCAGTTTCTCCCCGCTCCTCTCCAGCTGGTGCTCGCTCGGGGCTGGAGTTTTGTGAGCAGAGCTGCTCCTCACAGTCCCGCAGCCCTGAGAACCGGCTGCCAGCACAAAGGCTGTTAGGGGAATACTTTCATTCCGGTTTTGTTACCAGCAGCAGGCAGAGGTGTCTCATGCTGTTTGGGAATTAACCTCGCACTGCTGAGGCAGGGCTGCCGTGGCCCCGGTCCTGCTGCTGGCCCAGGGCCCTGGGGAGCACAGGGGACCTGTCCCCACAGCCCCGACTGCAGCCCCCACCGCTGCCCCGGGGCCGCAGGAACGGCAGCAGCATCCCCGCAGAGTCCTCAGGAGCCCCGGCCAGGCCAGGCAGCAGCCTCCAGCGCTGTGACAAGGTCCCAGCCCGGCGGCAGCCCCAGGCCAGCCCTCCCGAGGCATTCCCCTGCCAGCCCCACCGCCACAGCGCCTCCGCAACAAGGCTTGGGACCTGGGAGGTGAAATGCAGCAGCGTTGGCTGCAGTCCCCAGCTCCTCCTGCCCGTGGAGCAGCCCCTGTGGGTGGGCAGCCCCCGTGGGTGGGCAGCCCCCACCACGCCACCTCCCCGTGAGGCAATCGCTGCCTCGCAGGCTGTGGAAACCTTTCCCCGGGGCCAACACGCCATGCAAATCCTCCTGACCTATTGCTCAACCAGACGCTGTATTTATTCCAAAACGTTTGTGCAATGCAGGCCTTGGGGGGCGCGGGGGAGGCGTGCTGGGCCAGGGGGAAGCTCAGGGCTGCTTCTGGCCCATGGCTTTGCCAGGAGGGCTGAGCAGGCTGCTGCTCCCCCCAACCACTGCAGCAAGGGGCTGAGCTCTGCTCAGGGAGAAGCAGCGACAGCAAGAAAGCGCTTCTGCTGCCCTCGTGCAGCTCCTTAAGGGAAAACGTCCCCTGGGCAAACCCCGGCCTTCAGGAGCGCAGGGTATTCAGGGCCTAAAGGCCAAGGCACCGAGGAAGGCAAACTGAAAAATGTCCGGTTAGGGGGTGAGCGCTGAGGGGTACCTGCGTGGGCAGCACTGCCACCCCCGGCCCAGCATCAGCCTCTACCCGCTCCCCTTCCCTCGGGCAGCACCCAGACCCTCTCCAGCTCTGGCACCTTTCTGGCTTGGTGCACCATTCAGGCTGCGGAGTTACTCGCTTCCTGCGTTCCTGTCTCACGGCAAGACTGTACCCCAAACTGCCTCTGAAACACACAGTGCAGAGCCGCCGCTGTGCTCGGGCCACCTCTTCCTCTTCCTCTCTGCAGGGACAAAAACAGCCCGGCAGCCTCACAGTTGGGTAAAAACAGCAGCTTGATGCTGAACCCGCCCCAGTCGGGTGGTTTTGCTGCAGCCCCCACATGACACCCCACACGTGCTTCCATTACACAGCGGCCCCTTTCCCACAGCCCGTACAGGAGCCTTGGGTCAGATTTCTGCTTCTGGAAACGCCTTAAAAAAATGTTAGAGCTGAGCTAGCCACATCCTGGAAATCCCCCGATGGGAGGGAACCAGCTGGGTTCAAATGAAAGTTCAACGAGCAAGGAGGGCACAAGGCAGCTGGTGCAGGGGAGGCAGCAAACCCTGGGGCCCCGCAGACAGCGGGGGCCTGATCCCCTGGGCTGGGAGCAGGGGCTGCATCCCCCCTCCAGAGCCCCAACCCAGCAACCCCACCCGGACCTCTGCCACGGCACAGCTTCCCCTTTCTTCCTTCCCTCTTTTGAGTATTGATTTTAAAGAAGCAAAGCCAATATATCCTGCAACACTGACTTCCGAAGGAGGGCTCTTCCCCTGCCTGTTCATCCTTTCATTGTGCAGTGGCAGCAAAGACTTTCCTTTGATGATATTTAATTACCTTTTCCATCTACTTCTAGCACAACTGGGAAGGCAAAGCGACTGTTCTTTCTCTATCCCCAAAACACACCAGTGGACCCCTCATTCCTCTTCACGAGCACCCTCACGTCCACATCAGTGACCCCGCACACACCAACCCCACCCTCCTTGGGTCCCCTCACCCTGCATTGTGCTTCTGGGGGGAGGCAGCCGCGGCAATCTGCTGAGCTGGCACCCGGCTAGAGCAGGAAGCAGCGCAGATGAGTGAGAAAGACTTGACCACTGCTGGAGGGCGATGGGTGGCACGCTCGAGTTGAACGGAAAGAGCTGGCGATGGATGGGCTCACCAGACTTGTTTTGCAGAGCGCTCAGCCGTTCAGCCAGCTCCTGCTGGCCCCGTGGTCCAACAGAAAGAGCCTTGGGTCACCTCAGCAATTCTTCTTTCCCATGGGCATGTCCTGACGCTTCTCAGGAGCCTTCTGCACCCCATTCTCCAGCTCAGCCTGGGAGCTCCCCCTTTCAAAGGGAACAGCACCAATTCCTCGCCCTCTCAGGGTAGGAAAAGCTGCTCGGAGAGGAGTCGGGCTCCTGGGGGGCTCAGCACGAGGCTTTACCACCTGCATGAGGCCGACAGGATGCAGACAAGGCAACCGTGCTAAGTACAGGAAACTTAACAGGGTGCCTGTGTGTGACCTGCTTAACTTTAACAGATCAGGAGGCTCAGAAGGAGATCTAACCTATTTTAGTTGGATACGAAACACAAAGCAAACACAGGGCAGTCATGACAGGTCCTCCCCGCCAGTGTGCCCCGAGGAAGCGGTAAGCCACAGGAAGCGTCTTGAAAATTCCACAATAACAGCACAGCCAGAGCCTGCCCCAGCGCAGCAGCCCGCCGACTCAGCGCAGACAACTGTGCAGGAGTGACAGTTCTGATCAGCATTCCCCACGCTCCCGGGCACTGCGGTGAACGGGCCCACGAGAAGGCAGCACTCACACTCCAGCACACAGCTTGCTCCGGGGGCGGGAGGCGCAGGTTCACTCACGCAGAAGCCTTGTGTGAGGAAAAGAATTCAGAGAAACAGTGGCTGGATTTCAGCTGGGTTTTCTGGGTGGCATGGCAGCACGCACAGCAGCAGTTTGTCGGAGTAATCCTGACCAGAGTTGTGTTAGGGACTGATCCTCCCAAATTGCTCCACGTGCCACCAGGACTGTCACTGCAACAGAGAATATCGTAACCAAACTAAGTGGCCACCAGCATTTCCTTTCCTGATTATGGCAATGAACCCCTGTGCTCCTGCACCAATTCCTTTAGTTGTATTGGTCCAGCTTTGATGGAAGGAAAAATAAACATTCCCTCCCACATCTACACATCCTGCAAAACTGGAATTATCTATTAAGGTATTCTACAGAAAGATCAGCCTTAAAGTCCTGCAGCATTTTTCAACTAGACTCTACTACAAACAGCAGAAAACTCTTCACCTGGCTAAAAGGTCTGATCAAATCTATGACAGCTCCTAATCCCCTCCCCACCATACACGTACAGAGCCACATGAGCTTACTGTCCCTTCAGATGACATCCCCAGGGGGGTTCTCCCACAGCCGATAAATGATCTTTCAGAGTGTGAAGTTTCAGATTTGTTTTTTGAAACAAAGCATTTTCTCCAGGAGCATCCAATTTCCTTGGGTTTGATTAACTAGAAATAGTCATCACCCTGTATTAAATCTGAATAAAGACCATATTTAACAAATCGGGTAAGAACACGCTGTACAGCAGTATAGCAGGTAGGAGGGGAAGATTCTCATACAGAAATGTGAACATTGATCTTCCTGCTGCATTTCCTTCCCAGTCTATAACAAAACTTTAGAGCAAAGTCTTGACGTGCTACAGTTAGCTCATCATCTGACACAGTTGGGCTATGTAACGGGATAAAATATGTATTTATTTCCAGACTCTACTGTGGAACTGCCCATTAAAACCGAGGCACGGCCCCCACTATTCATTCCAGAATAGTTTACAGGGTACTGCTCCGCACCCCAGACACCCGACGCTGCGGGTCTCACACTGCAGGCAGAGCCACATGCCAGCACGCTGCTGCCTCACTGCACCTCGGCATCCCCTGGGCAGTGAGCGACTTCAGTAATGCTGAATAAACAGTAAACACGGGACATGCTATTATCTGCTACAGCAACTTGATTTTTTTGACCTGTCACACTGCATCAATAACAAGCCTGTCAGTACCCAGCCATCAAACTGCGTATGGAGATCTAAGATTGCCAGAGGAGCCCCAGGGAGGAAGGCTAATTTCTCTGACTTTCCTGGAAAGCCAGCCAAAATGTTGAATGGTCTTCCAAAAAGCCACCAGAGACCAAATAATTCAACTCAGCAGTTTTTATTTATATAACACAAGTTCTTACTTTGCCATGGCTTTCACACGGCTGCCTCCATTCAGTACATAAACTATATACTGCATAATGATACAGAAAGTTCAGTAAAGTGTCAGCTTGTGAGTATAAAATGTTAATCTTCTGATTGCAAGAGAAGCATTTCACCAGAACAACAAAAAACACCATGCCAAGTAACACAATGCCTGAGTCAAGAATAGTACTAATTAAAAACAGCATCAAGCAGCAAGTTGCTGGACAATAACATTAAAAACCATTTTTCCTGTAATTTACAAGTATGCAAAGTATCAGGTTACTTAAAATTAAGAAGCATTTTGCTTACTAACATGAAACATTACTAATTTGTAATGTATCATAATTAACCAGGTATACAGGTTTCTGTGTCCCTGTGGTTTTTGTGGCACATGGTGCCAGTCTGGGTAGATAACTCCTTGGACAGTCAGAGGGAAGAACAGAGAGAGACAAAACCGCTCCTGAGGAGGGATCTCAGGAACAGCTGTATTCCACACTCCCCTTCACAATTTGCCACTCCACAACCTTGGTTTAACCACAAGATGGACGTATTTTAAAAACGTAACAAAACACACAGATACAATGTGTATCAACAAATCAACTGCTTCTGGCCTGCAAGTGCAAGAAACATCTTTGCATTCTAAGCACAATGAAATTCCAGGACCAGAACCAATTACTACAGCAATTGGTTTTGCATATTTAAAATCTGTTACAGTATCTACAGTAAAAAACATCTTACTGAGTAAGAGGGAAAGTGGGAACAGTGTTACCAAATAAATCATATTCTACATTTTTGGATGCTGCTATAGTCTGATAAAGCTGAAGGGGACAGGAAAACGTTAGTAAGAAGAAAGGTGAAGCAACAGCTTTACAGGGAAAAATATTAAGGATTCATCAGAAGCAGTACCAGCAGCAGTCCAAACACGACTACAGCTGTTCTACTGAACGCTGAAAACTATTGCTGTCTGAAAACAAAAGGCACAAGAGGCACAACGTCACGAGTCCCTGTCGGTGCTGGGCAGAGATAGCCTGAGACAGGTTAGCAGGCAAGGGCAATGCTTTAGAGCAGCACCAGCAGCGTGGTCAACCACGTGTCCCGACAACTGCATTTTCCAGCCCGCGCCAACCACCACTCGCACGCAGCCTTGGAGCAGCATCAGGCCCCTCACCAGGGAAGGGCCTGCGCTCCCAGCCCCCCCCCCCCAGGTGTCTGGCAGCTGAGCAGCTTGCTAAGCCCTTGCGCTGCGTACTGGAGAGCTACCTCATCTCAGGAAGGTGGGCTTAAGTGGGAAGGGTATGGAAAGCATCACTGAAGTGCACCAATAGAACCAAACTGATGTCAGCTAAACCTAGCTTCATACTAGATTTGTAACCCAGCATTTTCCACAGTTCTGCATGGTAGGGTTTAGTAAAGAGGCTTAGTTAAGGGCTAAGAACAGTCTTGACAATGCATTTCAGTCTTCACAAATAAGCCTCGCACCACTGCAAAGGTATCACCCCCTTATCTTTCACAAGCCCCCTGGCAGTCCTCCCTCCAGCTACCTGATAAGATGCTAAAGCCATCTCGAAACTGAAGCAGGCGGGAGGGGTAAGGTCGCAATCAGTTCTGAATAACCGCAAGAATTTAGGGTGTGCCTGACTCGCCATGCAACCCCGAAGGCAAAATCCTGCTCTGAAGCTGCAGCCTCTTCTCCTGTTGGGCACCCAGAGCCTCTTCAGCAGCCCCTGGGGATGAAGGGACCCTGCGGTGCTCTCACCTCCCAGGGGCACGCTGCCATGTCTAGACCAGAATTTGCTGTGTGCATACCACACCTCGTATAGCCTCCCCGTGGAGCCCAGTACTTCCAAGGAATAAGGGGGAGCCCCCCAAAGGCATCTACAGCAGCTACAGCACAAACATCGCCCCTCAAGCTCCTCACCTGCCTGGCCGCCCTCAGCACCCGCCTCAGAGACCCGGGTTCTGAGACTTGTACGTCAGGATCTCTGCAGCAAGCCTCTGGGGGTCCAGCAGCCGCGGGAAACGGCTCATCACAGCATCGACTAAATGGGGGTGGAATATGCCACACAGCTTGACGTGCACGTTGGCCCGCTCCTCTGCAAACTGGTCAGACACAGCCCACTGGCAGGAGTCCCCGTAGGCGGGCCCGGGGGCTCTCTGTGCTGAGCGAGGATCTCGCACACCGGTGGATCTCACCTGAGGCGGCGGCAGCGGGTACGGTTCAGACCAGTACTCGCGCGAGTGGGGTGGAGGGGCACTGAACTCGTTGGGCAGACTGTATTGCCCAGCACTGGCTGGGTGCACAGGCACTCCATAGCCTGAGAAAGAGTGAGACGGTCCTGAGTGAGTTATCTCAGGGCTATACTGCAAGAAGCTAGCACCAGAGGAGGAAGATTTATTGGAGCCAGGCTTGTAAGAGACCAGACCGTTTTGCTCTAAGCTGGGAGAATGTGGGTAGACAGGTCTCTGCCTACTGCAGGTGCAAACTGCCACCTGATCAGCATGGGAATGATCACAGTGACTGGTAGATCTGTAAGGCCACATGTCAGACAGTTGGTTCTCCAGAGACCCAATGCCCGAGTCAAAATGCTCCTGAGAGATATAAGACAGAGAGTCCATCTGAGGCTGCTGGTACCTGTCAGAGGACCTATGGCTCCCGCTGCTGGGGGGGACACTGCCTGACACACAGCCTTTGACCTGAAGTGGAACATCGCTGGGCTTCGCTTTGTGGGACAAGCTTTTCCTCTCTGCAGAGACCTTCTGCAAAGAGCTTTTATCACTCTCTGTGGGCACAGAGCACAAGAGCTCTGCCTGGGAACCTCTTTTGCCCTTTTTCTCCTCCTTGACACTGGTACTTCTGGTAGGAGACAACCTTGCATTGGCTCGGAGTTCATCAGCTAATGAGCGCTGGGGCTGATTGATCCTTTCGGGGTGGTAGAATTTACACTTAATTCCATAAGTGCATTTCTTCCCTGCAAGGAAAGGCAGAGCATGGAATGACCAGCTGAATTTTACTAGATGCATGAATTACACTTGCACAGACACCCCAGTCTTCATGTTCAGAAGGCAGGTCTTACCATAAGGGCACTGTTGTTTCTTGTGTTCTGGCACCACAGGTTTCTTTCTAAGGAAGTTATCCAGGCTGGGGCCATGTCGCCCTAAGGGATCATCTGGAGGCATAAACCTAAAGAGAAATAAATCTCAATCAGAAGCAGTTCACTTCTTTGGGTCAGGGTTTCATTTCTTCTCAAAGTCTCCCATTTCATTGACAATTATAAAAGCTATGTGAGCCCTAAAAAGCTTCCCCACTTCACTGCACAGATAATACTCCTGTCATCCAGTAGAGACCAATATGAAATGCTTCACTTCAGGCACAGAAGAAGTTGTGCTCTCTTGCTGACCAGAATTAGCACTTGCTGCTGGGCCTGCTAACAACTGTCCTGTGAGGAAATCAAGCCCTGGAGCTCTCCTAGGAATTCCATTACAGCAGAGCTCCTAGCTCCAAGCTACAAACAGCTATCAAGATGACCCCAATTCCCTAGGCCTTTGTACCTCACCAGTTGTGCAGTTTTTCTCACCATGCTTTCTTCTACAAAAAAAAAAAAAACAAAAAAACAAAAAACTTTACAGGATTTTTTTTTCCCCCATTCTGTACCAGCATTTTGCTCTTCTCATGCATCACTTGCTATTGCTTCATTAAAACACGACAGCATGCTCACACCGATCTTTTTTTAAAAGCAAAGGAAGAATGGGAACATACTTGTCATTAACAAAGGAATACATCAGCAGACGCTCCTCAATGAATTTCTTCCACTCAGGACGCTCATTCTGCAGGTCCCGATAAGTATCGTTGGAAACCACAATGCCATCAGACTCATGTGCCAGTTTCACAATGAATCGATCATCATAACAGACAACACGCTTGCCTCCAACCCGCCTGGAAGGAGTGAAGACCAGAATTTTCTTCTTTTCAAGGTCACGGAGAATGTACTGGTCTAGAACAAACACAACTGTGAGCACACTCACACAGCCCAAAGGCCTTCGCACAGATAAAGCAGCATTATAAATAAACGACAACTCATGTAAAGTCATTTCATCTCTCCACAGCCCAGCCTGTGTTCTCGCCTCTCACACCATCCTCCAGGCTGCCAGGGGTGGAATCCCAGCCCCAGTGCCTGCACAGCACCCGAGAACACTCGGCACACCACAGAGGCTGCTGTAATACAGCAGGTCCCATCCACATAAGCCTTTGCATCAAAAGCACGACTTGCATTTAAGACTGGCAGGCTAGTGTCTTTTGTAGTGCCACACTACATGCACTGATTTCTGGGTGGAGTTCCTTAGAAATCTCAGCTGTTTGCAAGCTCAGAGCAACCTCCCCTTAGTTTGAATAATGCTGACTAAATTCCCATCAAGCTTTAACTTTTAGCATGTAGAAATTCTGTACAGTCTACAATGTCAAATACATAGCATGAAGATGTGTCCCTGAAAGAGGAAAAAAAAATAAAGTAATAAAAGACAAGAAGTTAGGAAGCACAGTAGTATTACATTCTTTGTTCTCTGAATTATTCCAACTGATCCAGGCAAGAACTTGCTCCAGGGAGAAGTTAATGACTAATTCTTACTGGTCAGCTCAGCTTATTGGATCTCCTGCTACTCAGATCTTCCATTCATAAGTTAATTACTAGCTAGCCACAACTTTGCAAGCTCATTAAGTGACGAAGCAGTAAGCCTGAAAAGCTACTTTTGGTTTTCATATTTCCACACCTGTTATAAGTACATCTGGTCGAGGCTGCTCCTTCCTCCAAGATGGCACAAAGACTGTAATGTCCTTGTGTCCCCTGTCCCAAAACCACTGGACAGCCAGAAGGATACCTCGGCAGGAGAACACTTCTTTATTTCCATGGCTGCATTGAAGAAAATTAAAGATTTCAATATTCAGGTTACGTACAGACTAGTCAGGCAATACACTACGCAAATGGATCTGGCAATTCAGGCAACCTTTAGTGAGGAAGTATTAAGAGTAGCACAGTCAGTATTTGTGGCTCATCTTGTGTAAATAGCAGCACTAAGATCTTCACAGAATGACTCTTGCTTTTAGCGCCTCGGTATACCAATAAACACCCGAATCCTCACTGGGAGGGAGAAAGCAGCTGCTCCGCAACAGAGCCTTTGCTTCAACTCTGGACATACATCTTTATTTTTAGCCCTGAGTACAATGTGATCTTGAACACCGTTTGTCCTATTCTGCCAGCTAACGCCAGTGTAAACTGGGGCCTCGCTAGGTGTTTTGCTTGCAAAGTTATTCTGACAGCTTCAGGGAAGCAAGACGTTTTATGCACTCTTACCTCAAGGGCATCAGCACTTGCTTCATTATATTATGGCCCAAAAAGTCAGTTACAAATGCATTATTTGCACAAAATAGCAACATTTCCTGTTAACAGGACCAGTGCCGAGTGTCTTAACAGCACCTGGCAGTTTGAGAACAAAGTTTAACAACATCAGAAGCCACATACCAGTGCAAAAAGCTGCTTCTTAATTATTTATTAGGTAATATCAATAAGTTTCCAGAACATCGAAGAGGAAACTACCACTCCTGTTTTACAAGTGCCAGTATTTACAGTGTAATCAGCTCTTCTGTTGATCATGGTTGTGGCAAACTTTCGACACTTCTGTATTCCAGCCCAACTTGCCATTCTGAGGATCTAGCAGCCTGTGCTTCCTGGTGACACCCCAGTAAGGTGTATGATACTTCAGATAACTGGTCTCAATTCAGCAAGAATTTCCCCCCGGGGCATTAACCCTGCCCCAACATCTTACTCTTTCCATCTACAGCTGAATGACATTTCAACTCTGACCACCACTTAGCATGCCCGTGAATTCCTTCATAAATTACTGAAGAGCTTACATCCCAGCAGAGGCATTTTAAGAAGCACTATCACTGTAGTACAACTAGAAGGAAACTTTACTTCTCCTGTCCTCACCCTTCTCTGAAACTATTAAAACTGACAACTTGTACCAAAACACTTATTCTAAATTAACTACACGTTTAGCAACAAAACTAACACCTAAAGAGACACCTAACATATCTGTATTAAGAATCTCAAATTACAAAGGCTAACATTTAACAATCAGAAGAAAGATGCTCTAAAAATTTTCTCCAATGTCAGACTGGTTTTGCTATAGATAGCCAGACAGGTTACTACAATCTTTTAGAGATAAATGCAAAAAGCAGAGATTTTTTTTTTTTTTTTTTGAGCTCCCTGCTACTAATCTCAAATCTACAGAGGGTAGCTATTTGGGCTGATCTGATTTGGCAGCAGCCAAGAAAAAATTCCCTTAGAAGGAAGTAAAAGCTAATTTCCACTATGATTTGCATATGTTTGTCAAGAGCTGTTCAGGGAGGCCGCTGTACACACTGCAAATGAATCAGCAGGGAACATCACACCATCAATACAGGAAGTTTCAGAATGGAATTCCCCTTCTAGCAAATTGCTTAAAAAAGCCCGACTGCTTTTCTCATGTCAAGCTCTGTCCTATCAGCAGCCTTATTACCGCCTGGCCTGCCCTGAGTCACATTTGCTGTGATCTCTCCTGTGCTTTCTGGGATAACTCGCATGGGTAAGAGGCTCCTCCTTCAAAAAACATAACCGATTTTGTTGTTTAAGCCTGAGCATTTATCTAAGGTAAAGCTTCACTGCAAGAGTCACGCTTACCAGCCCAGGTCTCACAATGGGCCGTTCTCCTCAAGTGACTGCACAGCTGCTGAAGAGCCACAGGAACAGGACTGTGCTCCCCCGCAGAGGCCCAGGTCCCATCTTTTACTCTCTGGTCCTGCTCCATTGCCATCAGAGTTCCTTCTTTGCCCTGGGACTTGCAGGCTCTGTTCATCAGTCACCCAACAAACTGTACCCCAACTTTTCTCAGAACTGTCCTGTTCTCGGAACTGCCAACCATGGCTTAGAAGAAACTACACTGGCAAACAAATCTCCGCCCAGCGCTTTGCCCTTAGACAAAACCTATAGTAATGCCCACAGCAGCTCTGTGTGCACCCAGGTTTATTTTTTATTATAAAGTCTGTGTGCGCAAACATAGACTACAAGACCTATTTAGCTAAAGCACAGCGAAGGAGACTTGCTTCTGAACCGCAATGACAGGGCCCAATTCAGAAACCTGGTGCATTAAATTAGCAGAGCCCAGCGCCCGCTGCGCGGAGGTGGGGCGTGCAGCACCAGGGGCTGGCTGGGGGCAGGCCCTGCTCCCCATCCTGGGGAGCAAAAAAGCCCAGGTGAGAGCAGGGACGTCAAACCAACAGACACCCAGCCCAGAGGCTCCGGGTGCTCCGCGGACATCAGGGCTCCTGCGCTGCCAAGGTACGGCGGCAGCGCGAGCGGCTTGGCAGGGCCTGGGCCATCAGCACCAGGACACCCGAGGGGCCGAGGGGGAGCCGCAGCCCTGCCGCCGAGACCACAGGCAGGAGAGCCCCTTCGACACCTCCGCCCTTCTCTGGGCAGCACGGAAATTTCACCAAAATACAAGAGTCACCGTTTGGAGGCTGGTCTCCAATGCAGGAGATGGCTCCGTGCTACAAAGTGCTCTCTAATTAAACCTATAATTATTTATTGAGCAACTTCCTGCTGCAGAAACTTACATAAAGCCATTAGGTAAGAGGACAACGTATATTCAGTTATCCTCCTCAGAAGCCGGGCAAGAAGGAAACGGCTTTATTTTCCGGGAAGCGCGCCTGCCCTTGTCAGCGACCAGCGGTCAGGGGCGGGAGGGGCCGCCAAGCCAGACCCCTGCCCACAACGCGGTGCTCGGCCCCGTGGGAGCCGCTGCGGCGCCTCGGAAAACATTCCCAGGCGCTGCCGGGGCTTCCCGCGGCGGCCGGTTGGGGCGAGAGCCCCCCCGGGGCTTGCCGGACCCCGAGCTGCGAGGGGCCACGCGAGCCCCGGGCCCCCCCGTGTCCCCGTCCCCCCCGCGCACCTCATGGCCACGTTGCTGCCATCGATGACGATGGGCTTCAGGTTCTCGCCCTCCGGCTCCTCCGGGGGCGGCCCGGGCGCGGGGGGCTTGTTGGCCGCCCCCCCCCGCGGCACCAGCGGGGCCTCCTTGGCCTCCGGCGGGGCCTCGGCGCCCTCCCGCTCGGCCGGGCCGTGCTTCACCAGCTCCCCCAGCACCGCGTTGGTGTCGGCGTCCAGGCCGAGCTTCTGCAGCACGACGTGGATCTCCTCCGAGGAGTAGCCCAGCTTGCGGAAGAAATCCACCTTCAGCTGCATCTCGGCGCTGCCGCGGGGCTCCTCCCGGGGCGGCTCCGCGCTCATCCTGGCTGCGGGCCGGGCGGCGGGCGGCCGGGCGCGCCTCAGGCCAGCCCGGCTCGGGGGAGACGCCGCCCGCGCTCACGGCGCCCCGCGGGGGACTCGCGGCCTCCGCTCACGCCGCGGACCTGCGGGCCAAGACGGGCGTTAGCAGCGGGCCCGGCCCCCCTCGCCCCCCCCCCCGTTCCCGTTCGCCCCCCCCCCCCCCCCCCCGCCCCTTACCGGCCTGCCGCCCAGGGGCCGCCGCCGCGTCGCCATGGGGCCGGAGCGGGCCGGGCGGCGGCCGCCGCTTTATACCGGGGCCCGGGCAGCGCCAACGCGGAAGGGCAGAGCGGGCGGGGCGGAGCGGCGGCCGCTTCCCGCCCCGCCCCGGCCCGGCCCCGGGCCCCGCCGCTGCCCGCCCGGCCCGGCCCCCGCGGGCCCCTCCGGCGCCGGGGGGGGGCAGGGGCGGGTGGCGGCTGCAGGCACCTGCTTTTTGGGGCAAATCCCGCTGCAACGCGGGGAGATTTGCCCCGGCGGGCGGACGCTGCCTCCGGCCTCCCGGCCTCGGCCGGGCCAGCCCGTGCTCCCCGCGGCGAGACCCCGAGGTGGCGAAGCCCCGGTCGGGGAGGGCGATGCTGGTTCCGCAGAGGGCCTTCCAGCTTCCCCCTGGCTGCTGTCACTCCGAGCTTAAAAGCATTAAACCTCCCGTCCTCTCCCTTTTTTACTGCCCTCTGCCATCAGAGGCGGATGTCAAACGGTAATGGAGGCCCAGAGCTCCGAAACGCGCGCTCGGTGCTCCCCGGGGAGAGCGTGCCTCTGCCGACCCGTTCGGGGAGCAAGGCGGTACCACCCCGCTGCCCCGCACCCTCCTAAAGCCCAGGCTTTGGCCCAAGAGTTGTCAGGAGAGCATCGCCCCGGCCCCGGCGCGCTCGGCGCCTGCTTGGGAGGAGAGGACGCCTGCAAGCTGAAACTGGAAAGGGAGGGAAACGGGACAGAGGACAGGGGCCAGTGGGTTGTATCGGGTGCCAGGACAACCCTGCGCTCACCCAGGAGTCAGCACCGCTGCTGGAGCTGAGCCGAAGCTGTAGGCAGCTTTAGGCAGCGGGAACGTGTGAATGCACAGCCACAAGCTCCGGGCACATCGGCGAAGGTGCTCTGCGTGTTCTCGTGCTCTGCATGAGCTGGGCAGCCCGCGGTGACACCGGCGTCACCCGCGGGGTGGGCGCGGCAGAGCGGGGCCGGGTGCTGGCCGCGTCCCCTCCGTGCCCCGAGCGGGGGGCTGGAGCCCGACACACGCCTCGTGCACCGCTCCGATCCCGGCGTGGTGGTGGTGCGGGCGGCTGTGGTTCAGCCGGTGGAGCTTTATCCACCCTGGCCTTCCGAGGAGATGAGAGCTGACGGGAAGCATCCGACAGGCACCGGGCCCTGTCCCCTGACTACTAGCTAAAGCCACCCTTGCAGACAGTACGTAACTGCAGGAATTGAACTAACATTTCACAATGTGCAAAAATGTTTCGTCTCTTACTTCTGATTAATCATTCCTAAACAATTTAATGAAGGTAGTTGCAAATTTGCTTCCCCGAGGCCATGTACCAGAGCCCAACTTAAGAGCAAGGGAACTCTCCCAGTTACAGGAATACATTTGCATTCATCTTCCTTGTGGTTACCCTGAAACAATCATTTTTTCTTGTCTCTGGCCATGTCTGAAACCGCACTGTGTACTCAACAGTAACACACACACACAGGCTAGATTCAGATCAGAGATAATATCCTTACTCAGTACTTAAGTAGGTGCTTTCCCAACTCTTCTTTCCCTTGGAATCTACTCCAGTCAGCATGAATTTAGCATTGTTTGTGTGCTTTTGCTTCCAGGCTACAGTCTATTGCACCAAAAAGTATGGCCACAGATGTGCTTTTTATAGGAAATACCCCAAGTAGGAGCCACAAAGGTGGATCTTCTGATTTATGCAAAGCAGTGACAGCAACTGTGTGCTGCCTGTTTTGATTTGTTAAAAAGAGAAGCCGGGATAGAGAGGGGGTCTGTGGGCTTCTCCACTCAAAAAGTCAAAAGGGGTCATATGCTGGCCACACCCCAAAACTCCCAGTGGTTACTTTTGATTTTTTTTTTTTTTTTTTACTTTTTCACATTTGTAAACTGCTTTGAAGAGAAAGTGCTTCGGTTGTTCAGCATTGCGAGGGCTGTTGCGGAGCGTGAAGCTCCGGAGGATAGGAAGCTTTCCGGAACAAAGCCCCTGCGAGGACGAGGGACGCGCCGAGGCCCTTCGCCACCCCCCGCGAGGCAGGAGGCTGTTTCTCCCGCGGCGCACGAAGGGTCCCCGGCGCAGGGAGCGGGGCTGGAAGAGCAGAGCTGTCCCACACTGCCTCCTCTGCCTGCTGCCGAGAAAGGCTCCCACCGCTCCTCAGTTCCGAAGCAAGAAACCAGTTCTAAATTGGCGTGATTTGAAAGCGTATTGACCCGTTCCACCGCGCCGCACAGAGGAAGACTGTGGTTAAATCCCTCCTGCAGACGAGCCAGGGGTGTCTGCAGGGACAGTCCCGGCTCTGCTCGCCGTCCCCTGGCCTGCACGCTGTGCCGCCTTCGCCGGGGTGCCAAGCACCAGCTGCCTCCAGCCCCCCCGGAGCGCACCCCAAGGTCTCTGCCCCTCTCTGCCCACCCGGCAGGACCGCGGGAAAGCCGCTGCCTGGGGAGCAGTACCCTGCCAAAAACCACGGGCCCAGCAGCCCCCTGACACGGGGACTGGCGCAGCGCGTTGTCCTGCAGCAGGGAATGCCAGAGGAGCTGCAGGACAGGGAATCAGCCCGAGGGGAGGCAAGGGAGCCACGTTCAGAGGAGCCTAAATAGCACCAAGTCTGCCAGAGACAAGCCAACAACCATCTCATGGATTTCGTAAGGGGTGCTGGGCACCTCCGCCGTGTTTTGCAGAATTGCTTTCCAACTCGCGCGCCCCGCTTCCACGTCCAGACACCGACAAGCACCGCTTTGCTCTCGGGACAGGCCTCTTGCGCAGCTGATTTTTGGGTGATGCGCACCGGCGGTCAGGCCCTCATCTCACCGCCACCTGACTTTCCCTCTGCGGGGCTGGTGGGGTTGGGCGGCGTGCGGGGGGACACGGCCCCAGTCCCCGGGGGGCTGTGTTGGGGCTGGGCTGGGGAGAGGCAGGGCTGAGCGGGAGGCAGCGCCGTGCCAGCAGCCGGGCGGCTGCACCATCCCCTTTCTGCCGCGGGACAGGCCGTCCACGGGCACTGCTGGGCTGCCGAGCGGCGCTGGGGCCTCCGTCCAGCTGTGAGATATCTGCGCCCACAGGAAAGGGGTGGAAATCCCCTCCCCAGCGCACGTATGGCCGGGGCCTTTCCTGAGGAGGAACTTGTGAGAGCGAGGGGGAGGGCAGCGGGCAGGCACGGCCAGATGCTCGAGCACAGGACGTGCCCAGCCGCGCCAGGCTGGGTGTCAGATTCCTTCTGAATTGGGGTTTCTACTAAGCAAAAAGGGAACAAAAGCATCCGGGGCAGTGGTGACAGCAGCAGTGGGAGCCCTGTCCTATGGGCTCAGACTCTTCTGGTCCTCCGTCTCCTTCGAGTTTGCTGCTGACTCAGCGTAAGTTCTCCTCCAGTCTTGTTCCTTGCTCATGAACAAGTCTCGTAAAATCTTGACATCACATTTTTCTAGGGATTTTTCTAGGGATCACCACTCCCATGTCCCACATTTTAAAGGAAGAGCTCGTCCTCTGGCAAAGCCTTTTATCTCCCACTCATACATTTAACGCAGTCAAAATAGGTGGTATTCAAGGATCTTATTATTATCTGCTGGCAGGGAAGAGGCTGGCCCTGTGCCAGTTCCTTGTGAAGAGATGCCAGCGCTACAAAACTATTGCTAACCCGCCTCAATCAGGAGCCTTGTCAGCAAAGTGGCCGTGGACCTGGCTTGCCTACTTACGGAAGCTCAAGGCAGCTAGCTTGCTTTTAAAAATGAGCTAATTAGATCTCAATTATAAATGTCTATATGGGACCACTTATGTTAATTAAAGGCAATTTAAATGGCCTTATTTAGTAGCGTTTGGGAGTAAATTAAACTGAATTAAGGCCACTTTAATTCTGAATGAGAGTTTTATGCAGAATTTTAATGCTCTTTAATTCACTTTAGATTTAGTTACTTCAACTTAACTTTCTTAAGAGTCCTGTGTAGACAAGCCCCGAGCAATGAGGGGCAGGTACCTGTACCTGCTCAGAGCCTGAGCTCATGCCCTCCGGGGGGACGGGGCTGGGGCTGGCCGCCCTGGGATCGGTGCATTCCCGACAGCTTTGGCAGCCTAAGTCCCCTGCTCATCTGCTGTGTGACCTAATGGCTCGGCTCTCTGCACTCACCAGCATGTGCTCCTGGGCGATGCGAACAATACCAGCTAGATTAGCCGAGTCCTCCCATCACCTGCGACGTAGGGATTCAAGAGGCTGGCAGAGCTGCATCTGAATTTGCTTTTACAGTGATCAGTATAATTTATTACGCAGTACGCATCACATCCAGGAATTAAAGGAAAAAAACAAGTGATGATTTATGCCCTTTCTCTGGAAGAGGGTCACCATGCCTCATGAGGAAAGCCAAGCAATAATGCTGGAAGGAAAGCTTAGCACCATCCCTTTGTAGCAGTTTGCTTTTATAGCCGCAACCACTCACATTTATGGAGATGCTGGCTGAGAGACCATCTGCTTCTCTTGCTTGCCTCAATAAAGACGTCTCTGATGGCAGCGTCGTCGCTGGTTGCCAGAGCGAGAACCCACCAGCTGCCGCATCGCTCCGGTTTGGGAGCGTGCGCCGCGGGGGCACGGGGCTCCGCTCCCACAGGCCAGCTCCGCTCCCGTGCATGCGTCAGGCAGAGCTCCTACCCTCCCGACCCTGGTGATTCAAGAGGAGAAAAGGTAGCTCGAGGCTTCTCAGAAAAAAGGAAAATGTAGCAAGTGAGAACTAGAGGAGATGCTGAAGAGGGATTCACCGAACTTACTGACTCGCGCTTTGAGCCCGTATGCCCGCAGTACTCGTCACGTTGATAGCTGTCTTCCCAGTGCCGCCTTCATCCACGATCCCAGTATGGGATTCCTTTGCAGCTGCAGACAAATAGGCTGATTTTTCTCTGAAATACTCTCTCTTGAACTTATTCGTTGGCTTTTAGGGAGATCCTCATAAGCACTCTGCAGAATAACTTACTCCCTGCGTAGCCCGAGGGCTCCTTGCAGAGGAGACGTGTTTTGGAGGGAATCGCTTGCTCTGGAGGAGAGCGCACACCCCCGAGGGACCATGCCAGAGTAATTTATTTGGCTGTCACTGT